ATACATGTGCTGCACGTGTTCTGTATGAATCATTGACATTAAACGATTTTTTTTTTCTTCTACGGATTTCTCACATTAAGAGTTCAATCGACAATTTTCTAATAAAATTCAATTAATATAACAAGAATAATTAGGTTGTCTCATAAAGTCAAGAAGAGCAAGCAAGCAAACGAACTTTGAAGTCAAACGAACCCTTAAAAGTTGACAGAAAAGGTCAATTACGAATTTCTAACCTCAAAAAAAAACAAAGAAAAGCAGACAGACAAATAAATAGAGAATATTTAATGAGAAAGAAGCGTGAATGATGAAAAATTTTGAGTGTGAGATTAGGGGTCATTTATAAATGATGTCTATACTAAAATGGATTTTCTAAACCAACCTCCAATCTTTGTCACACAATCTTCTTTAGTAGGACAACTTTTAATGACAAAAAAGTCAGATATCACTTATTAACGACCCCCTTTATCCTTTCCTTGTTCAGCATTTAATGTTTAATAAAAAAAAGAAAGGTTCTCGAATTTTCCTCCGCTAATAATATTCACTGTGGGTGTACAATCTATCTACTAAATGCCGTATAGCATGCTGCAAAAAAACGAAAGAAAGAGAGAGAAAAAAAACATCAATCGATAACTTTTCTGGATTTTCTTTATATGTGCCTCTTTTAAATTGTTGTTCTTAAAATTAGAACTGTATAATATGGAATAAGAAGTATGTGAATGTACATTCAATTGATCCAGACGATTTTCTTCTCTATTCTTATAATATTTTATTTTTCTGTAATTCTGTTAAATGAAATTAAATGGAATTTACAGAAAATTTCTTTTTCTGGCATTTTAAATAACAACAAAAAAAAGATTTTTTTATTAGCAATGTTTTCCTTCCTCCCGTGATGCTGTCTTTGTATGGTCGTAGTACATTTTTTTGCCCCCATATCTTTACTTAGAAAATTCATTTTTCGAAAAACACTCAATGCGCACGTCATTGAACGGCAAAAAAGAAGACGAAAGCGAAAAAAAAAAGATTTTCTAGATGCGATTGTATTTGTTTCATGTATACACAACGGAAAGTGGTATTAAATATTATTATAGGTGCCCATAACTCGACTCATAAGTCTTTTATAATTGTGTATACAAACTGTTACTGTAAATTTGAGAGAGAACAAAAAACAAGAAACATAGAGAGTGAGAGAGAATAGATTAAAATGTCGTGCTTTGTTTGTTGCTTCTTCTCAGAATGAGAAGAGGGAAAAGAAGATGGAAATAAAATAAAAATGAAATTTAGAAGTAAAACAAAATAATAATGAATGATGAAAGAAAAGGAAAAGATGTTATGTGTAACTTTATAGATCTTTATGAATGAGATGAAAAGAGATATTTTTTTTTATATTTTGGAAATGCTATCTTGTGTACACCAATATTACACAGATGTGTCTGCTAACAAATCTCGTGCATTCTCTTTATTTCCTTTACACTTTTCGAGGGTTTTTGTTCTTCTTTTCAATTCCTTCTTATTCATTTATTTCAAGTTGATTCAACTTTTAACTTTATCTTCTTTATATGTGTGTTTGTCACACGTTCTCATTCCTATTATTTTTTGGCTGCTTCTATATCTTCTCCTTAATATAAGTTTATTCTTTATTATTATTTATTCTATATCATGTTTCAGCCACCCTATGGTTTTTGAAAATATCCTCTAAAATTTTAGTCTATTTTCCTATCACTTACGAAGCTGTTTTTACGACAATAAAGACAAAAAGGCTTATTTGCATTTAACCTTATGGGATTGATACGCAAGAAAATTCTCTTTTCCTCTCTCTCACTTTCTCTCGATTTTCCGTATCCTCTAATTCTTCTTTTATTGCATACAATCATTGGTGTGCTTGACCTTTTTAGTGATTCTTAAGAATCGATTTGTTTTAAGAATTTTTTTGTGGATTTTTAGACAAATCCTTTGAATATAGCTTGCGCTTAGTGGCGCTTACGTCAAGTGCTATAAATCACAAGGGGTTTAGGGGAGCAATAAGAATCAGACCCTGCTCCACCAGATTGAAAATATCTGTGAATGCTCCTGAGCGAAATTATTTAATTAATACTATTTAGAGATTATTCTGGGTCCAAAGAAGTCCGGTAGACATGAAATTAAGTAAGCAACAATGTCCTAAGCACCATTATTCCAATATAAATCCAAATCTGATTCATCTTTTTTCAAGCGTGTTAATAAATTGCGAAGAAAAAAGTAGCTACTCATTTTCATACCTGCAAGCTGTTTATAGCTTAGTCATCATAAAGTTTTCTTAAGATATTTATTACTGGATATAACAATAATTTCATATAATCATCAAGCTTATCCTTTTTAATATCTCATAAGCAGGAGTAATCATATGTAAAGTCGATTTACCTAAGCACTTGCTGTACACGGTAAATTTAATTGTGGCTTACTGTACTTAAATGATATGTTAGAGCGATGTTTGTAGGCCATAGTCCTATAATTCATTTGAAACCTTGTTAGATTATTACATTTTTAATGAAACGATTTTTGAATGGAAATCTATTTAAGCTGAATTTTCATGAATGACGCATTTTGAGGCTTGATAGGAAGCTTGTCAATTCAAGTGCTGAGCATATTTATTATAAAATTTATAATTAGTAATCCGGAAAAAAACTTACATCATCCTTTTGTTGAAAAATTATTTGCTCTAAATTTCTGTAGTGGAATCTAGAAGAACTTGCCGCAAGATCAACAAATCACATTATGCTTGGCTTGAGTTCATTGACCATTTCGAGGATTTTTACTGTCATTCATTGCTTCTTAGAAGTGAGACTGTGTTCAAATGAGAGCAATGATTAACATTAGTTCCGGTCTATGATTTTCGGATAAAACTTAATACATAAGTTTTCTAAGATTAGATTCGAAACTGGTTGATAAGCTACCGAAATAGTATTTTTTGTTGGACGTCATTTGTAAAGGATTTTAAAAGTGTAGCAATAATAGAACCAAACAGAACCTCTAATCCAGAAACTTCCATGCTTCCTCATCCCACCAATAAAGCACAACTTTCTCTAATCCAATACTCGATTGTCTCACAGTGACTTTCTGTCCACAAAGAAGTCTAATAAAATTCGATTTTTAAGTGAAAAGGAGATCAATAAATGTGTACAATATAGATGTATGAAAATATAAAGAAAGGGTGCTTGTATTCATAGACTATACATGACATTACTTACTGCTACAATTTTATTTTCCTTATTCTTTTAGATTTTTTATTATTATTGTTTCTGATAGTGCCTGAATGAAATGTATGCCTTTTTCAGTTGTTGTTGTTGTTGTTGTTACTTATTTGTTCTTAGTCAATTGTAATTCAGCTGTTATGAAGCGTAGAAGAGTGTATAGCTGGTATTATGACACTCAATCATAGTGTTTATATTGTGGCGCATTAAAACAGAAAACATAAAGCTGTTAAGTGAAATAAAAAATCATTTTGTTTGTTGATTAAACGTAATTGAGAGGAATGTCTAATAATTTTTGTGTTTATGGGGTCATCCACTTGTAACGTCTACTGCCTAGACTAGGATACACTTCATATAAAGAGTTTACAATAGGAGAAGAAGTTGATTGGGTTTTATAAAATTCTAATTCCAAATTTGACATCATTTAGGAACCATCCTTACAGCTTGTGCTACTTCCACATGAAAATTTAAACAAAAGAACTATACTCCGGAATGTGCATAATCAAAATAATATTTTCATTAAAGTTGTATTACAAATTATTATTATTATTTTATACATTTAAATGTATGTGTGATTGTGTACATTTTTTCCGTGTGACTATACAGTTTGTTACTACAAAATAAAACTTATATTTTGATTTCGGTGATGAGAAGTATCAAATTGTTTGTGTATGGATATACAGAGAGAAAAAAAATAATCTTATTGATGTCAATGTATTTCATATGAACTGTTTTATGTTCCTGAGAATCTGTTATAAAATTCCTTCTCCTCTGACTTCATTTTTGATTTCATAATAACGATTAATACAAGTGTAAGGATTGAAATATGATAAAACTTAAATTTTTCAGTATTTTTCATTTACTCCTACACAGCAGATGCAAATAAAGTAGGAATAAAGTCAATAATAATGTCTGTTGTGAATAGAATTAAGAGCCATTTTGCACAGTGAATGAAAAAAAAAATAATACAAAGTTAAAGAGAAGATGTTGAACATTATACCTCTAACAAACTTCCGGTCACGGTCAGTGGTTCATTAATTTTCAATCATACATTGCTTTTGATACCTTACTGCCACTTTTTGTGGTCATAAAAATAAAGTTCTCATTAATTCAATTTCGTTGTGTTTTGGATTTAAATTTTCTGACCACTTTATTTGCCACAATGCGACTTAATGACTTATAAATGATAATAAATTCTGAATGTGGAAAATATTGTTAAGTAAGTGATAAAAAAAATATGTTGAAGTCGTTGAATATTTTTTCTTTATTTGGAGGTTCGGTGTTGATTTAAGGTGAAAAGGGGAATCAAAGGGTGTGTCAATCGCAATATTCTGGATTTTATTTTGATTTTTATTCAATAATTCTAATGTCAAGATTGAACAATTAGCACAAGTTGCCACCCCTGACATTCAAAACAAAAAGCTACAGGGGACCACAACTAAGCAAAATGTTGACAAACTTTCCAAAACAACAAAACTTTTTGGTTCCATCCCCTCGCATAACACAGAAAAAATCTCAATATCAAAAGTTATTATCAGCTGTGTCACTATCAATAGACTTCAAATCCTGCAGAAAATTATAATTACGTTTGTTGTTCATTGAGCTCTATCGAAATGAATTAATGATTATCAAATTGAGTGTATGAATATTATCAGTAAACAATGTATGACTATTCATTTATATTGATATGATACTTCAATAGAATCAATAACATTACACACAAATACAAATTTATCTAAATCCATTTCTTTTATTCGTTTAATTTAATTACAGGTTAGAAGAAAATGAACGAATGGATCGACGTGAACAGGCCAAACAACAACAAAAGCAGCAAATGCAAATGCAAAGGCAATCACAAGGTGATAATGACATGCCACAGCAGCAACCATTGTTTGGAGTTCCAGTAAAGGTGAGTCACATCATATTATTATTACTATTGTTCCTTTTCCCCATTGTCGTATGCTCGTATATTCCGATTTTCTTCTAGAAATCAAACTTAACAAATTTGATATGGACATTTTGAGTCAAAACATTTAATTTTCTTGTCGATGTCACGAAAGACAATATAGTCTATATTTTTGTTCTATAATGATTAGACATCATGCTGGTGTATACTTTAATTTCAAATGATATTTTAGTGACACAAAAAAATTATTATTTTTTTATATATTGTTTCTATTACACATCTACATTGGTGTTCCGAAATAATCATTTAATAAAGCGCACAGATTTTGTTTCTCCATTCATTTATATTTCCAACTGCTTTGCTTCACTTCTCCACTGTTCTCTAATTGGCCTTATCCGCATTTTATCTATGTTTTTGTCGGATATTTCTATTTTATATGTTTCTGTTCTGCTCAAGTCTATATAATGAGAATAAATTGTGAAGTTGGCGGGAAGCAACAATTCTATTGAGTTGCCAGATGCTCATCCATTGATTCCTCCTCTTCAATTATGCTTTTTTTCCTGTCATGGGAAGGATTCTTTTTTTCATTCAATTATTTGTACTTTTTTGTGTGTGCCTTGAATGAGGAAAACAAAGTGAAAAGCTTCGCAATGTAAAAATTATTGTGCAGAGGTCATGGTTACCCGAACAGATTTACTTCATTCACAACTATCTTTATTTACATTCACTTACATTGTTTATGGTGAAATTCATTGAATTGAATAAAGTTCTCGTTATTTTGCACGTTTTTCTTAATGCCTGTCTACTTTCATTCTGATTTATAGGTTAGTTGACATGAATCCATAATAATTCATTGGGAAATGAGTTATTCATTTCGGCATTTATTTAATTTGATTTGTGCCACTTTTTTGGACATTTATTGGGACAGAAATTCTCAAGAATAAATAATCTAGTTTGAGTTTTTCATGAAAAACTTTTTTAGGTTGAAAAAAATATTTGAATTCTTAAAAGCCGTTAAATTTGACATACATTTTGCTAAACTTTATTAAACGTTCAATTATATCATATAAATGTTGACAATTTCTGTGAATTGTCAATTTAAATATTCAACTAGATTGCGCTTTAACACAATTACTTCATAACAAGCTAGGCCTGCTTTTCAATAAATCTGTAATAAATATATATCGCACATATTTATTGCTCTATTACGACGTAATTTATATTGAAGCCATCTAAAACGAAAACTTTTGCCATATTAAACATTTTTCACTCTCCTTTCATGTGCGAGCAAAATTAGTAACATTTTAATTGCTGTTTACATTCAATTTTGATTCGAGGTAATAGTTATGGCGTTCTAGCATTGAAATTATATCTAATGAAAAATATATTGTGAGAGAGGAATAGTTTACACGAATGATAAAAAACACAGCACTTTTAATCGTAGACATCAATACATTAAGTCACGATTTTAATAATTACTGCAAATCGTCATTGCAACGTGAATTTTTTTTCTCTACTCTCGTCTTTTGAATATTATTTTTATTAGTACTACCTTGAACTTTTCTTCTCTTGATGACGAATTTTCTTTTTTCTTTGCGTCGTAGTACTTTTGTTTTGGTTCCTAAGCGATTTGTTTTGTTTATGCCAAGGAACTGCTGTAAATTTTTGCTCCACTTCGAAAAGTTTTTTTGAGAATTTTCTGGCTTAAATGAGAATTTTAATCACTCTTCTTGCTAATAACTTACTAAAAAGTAGCAAAAGTCAGATGCAGAAGATTTAACGTTAAACGAACTAATATTCAAAGAATTATGAGCTATTTTTTCAATCTAACCTATAAATCAGAACAAATACTAATAATCTGAAATGCTGTTTTCAAATTTCTGAAAAGATTAGATCATCATAAATCAAAATTCATTCCCCACAAATTGCTGCTCAAAGCAATTTAATCTGGGCAAGACCGCGAAAAAAGTGAACAAATATTGAAAGTTGATTCACTCAGAGTTTAGTTATTCAATCGTCACAATTCTTTCAGTGGCTTATAGCCAAATATAAAAACTGAATTTTTAACCCAATAATTTTAAAATGGCGACTTTATAAGTTAGTTTAATTTCTAAATCAAACATTCAAAGTGATTTTTATCCAAGAAGGAAGCTGTAAAAGGAGCTGATATGTTCATAAAAGTTGTTGAGAATCTTATTTTCTTTCATTTATCATACACACATTTTCAAATTAATACACAAAATTAGTTAAATTAACCAAAATTGATTTTACATATAAATTTAATGAAATTTTCATTATTGTCCCTCAAAAAGCATTAATTAATGATAAATTACAACTTTCCTGCAAGAATTTACTGCAATAAAGCCTTCTAATTTAGTTAATTTAACCAAAAGTTTATTTTACAACTCTTTAATCAAGTCAAAAATTTAAATTTTCAAAATCGGTTGAAAATTTTTGTTTAAAGTTTTTAAAGTTTTTGCTTTTTTCTTGTTCTATAACATTATATTGTGATATATCTTGCTAAAACTAAGCATGTTTGATGTATAATTATCATTTTACATCATAAAATTAAAAGAATATCTATTCAATTGCCATTTAAAGGCAATTTTACAAAATGACCAAAAAAAGTTAATTATACTACTTTTTTCAAAAATTTTTGACTTCTATCATAAAGCCAAGGTATAAAACTATATTTGTGTCAAGAAAAAAGTTAAGTAAGTCAAAAATTGATAGTAAAATATAGGAAAATAAGGTTAAAAACATTAATTAAATTAACTTATTAAGTAGCCATTTTATTTTTATTACTTTTTAATGATAACTGTAGTTTTAAACTAACTATTGCTGAAAAAACTATCGAAATCGGTGTAAAACTAAGCGAGATAGACTAGTTTTAGTAAAATTTCAAATACCCTTCCCAAAAATTCAGTGTCAGATTTTGCCTATTTTCAGGCTCTACAGCCTTAAGTATAGTACTTCCAATAAAAAGTTACATACCAAAAGATAGGCATCAAAAAGTTCTATAAAACAGTATGTTTAATCTTACTGTAAGTATTTTCGTTACAGAGATATAAACGAAATAATAGCAAAATCTGACACTTAATCGAAAAACGGTCTTGCCCATCTGAATAAGTCATTCATCTGATGCAAATGAAATTTTCACTAACAATAATGCAGTTAATTGCACAGTAATTTTATTGTTTACAGATTAAAAGCAATGTACAATGACAAGGTATGCCGCAATTACATATTATTCTTTATTCCACTTCAGTATCCACATGCAGGCACAAAAATAAGAGATATAAAAAAAATGTGCGTGTGCTTATCGAATATTAAAAATTCTTTCTGAAAGATGAAAGGCTAAAAAGAATGTACAATAATAATAATAATATCCATAAGCGGCATGATACAGAGAGAGTATAATAGAATAAGTACTAAGCATAAGAAGATTCCTTCCTTGAAACATCTCAATACTTTATGTCAGACAACTCTTTTATTCTTTTCTTCATGCTCTTGCGACGGCGTACTACATGTGTGCGTTATTTTTTTTTCCTTTCCTTCTGAAAAAGCAACCTGTTGGTGGTTTATATATGAAACAACAGAAAAGAAAGAAAAAAAAAAATCCGATGTAAAAAGAACCGAAATGAAAGAGGCACATAGGAAGAGGATAAAAAAATAAAAGATTGTACTTTTCACTCACTTTACTTGCTCTTATTTCAATTCTTCTTCATGCTTGTTCTATATTATGTTTATACGATTATCATTCTATTCTATTTTAAAGAAGAGATGAAATAATTCTCAAGATAGGAACCTGATCGATCACATACATTTCTAATGTCTTTTACCAAATGTATCAACAAAGATTTAGAAACCCTAGAAGAATTGAGTACATTGCGATGCCCTTTAAGATGATTAACACGAAATTGTTTATAACTATTGTGTCGGCACCAATACTATTCAGCTATAATTGAAATTGGTATTTATAAAGGAATCTACATAGATTCCGACGATGTGATAAAAAGTGAAAAATACTTGTTTTTTTGTTCTTACAACTTGTTGTTTCTATGATTAGATGCTTTGTGCAGCTCATAGTGTGATTTCGTAAGGAACAATGAGTTGAGTTAAATAATGAACTGAAAAAAAACGAATTTCTTAAAAACTTATAGAGTAATTTTTTTTAAATGTTCGTGTTCACTTTGAATGTTAGACATATTTTGATCGATTTATATTGGCTTCTTGTCATTTATATCCGCATTGCAAAAAAGAATGACTTGTGGGCTCATAAATCATAAAAGTTTTCAATTTATAAAGGAATTTTTTTTCAAGCAGAAATATTTAATTTGATAAAAAAAGTCCTTCTATAACAACTTTTTTATTGGGCGTTCACAATTGGTGAGAAATACAAAGTATGGATTTTCCACCAACGCAAAATTCAGCGAAATGTTTTATATTTGGTGGACTAAATAAAGAATGTGGAATTGATCACAATTAATTTAAAATGATCAAAACTATTGGAATTGAAAGCTCAAATACTTTTGTTTATAAAATTCAAGTTCAAATCAAAATGTGCAAAATTATCCATGAAAAATCACTCAAATCTTAACATAACAATCCATAAAGATTACATAAAGATAATGACGAGTTTACAAAATTTTTATGAAGATGATACTGAATCAGCTCTTCCTAAATGACACATAACGAAAATTTTTATTACTCAGTTATCAAAGTAATACTTTTTTGCAACGACAAATGTATTCCTTATCAAGAATCTTTATTTTCTCACGTAACTCGATAAATAATTATCAAAAAAATAATAAATGTTTACTTTTGAGGTTAAATTACGGAAAGAAGAAGAAATTCATTGTAAGGTTAAATATCCTGTAATAAGATATGATTCAATTGTCTTTAGTTGCTGCTTCTTATTTGAACTGTATATCAAATTAAACTTCGTTCACAAAAGGTCGGCAGTAATCGTTTGCGGAAGGTCAGAAAGTCTTTATAGCTGT